TTGAAATGTTATTCTTACGTGTGAAAACATGCCCTTATTTGGAATCGAATGCTGACTCATACACCAATACTGCGTCACATTTACACAAACCACGGTGATATGGCTTAGTGACAAAATGAATTTAGAACCTGTAATTCTGTTGTCAGACAGTAATTGTTATGATTCATTGTTGTTGAATACAATTGGGTGTTTAAGAGCAGACAGCAGAAATTCTATTCGACTTAGGTTTTATGCTAGTTGTCACTAGTTAGTAACTAATGTTCTCTGTGGGATTCAAACCTAAGTCTGAGAATGTACTACTGGTCCTTCACTGCTGATTGAATTGTAGGTTCAGGATCTCCTGTTGACTCCATCCAGCCACTTAACATCTCAACATTATGTACAAGATTTCGATTTACTAAGACTAGTGGTCACATAACACCTTGAACGAAACGATTTGATTAACATTGAAGTACTAAAAGAATAGAATGTTGGTCGCTATTCATTGATCAGTCAGTTGTAGATAAACACTAGTCTATTTTTTTCTTTGAAAAAAGTATAAATTATAAAAACAAAGCTCTAAAATAACAGTACATACTTGCCTTTCTCTACTGAGTTCCGATTTTTCAGATATTTTCGAACGATTATCTTATAATAATAAGAGTATGAGCACTTAAGAACTCATTTTCCTAGCTTTTCATCCTATATCTATCCTTCTGATTTAATAATGGTATAAGGTTTGTGACAAGTTAATAAATCATATATATATATATATATATATAGCCTTGTGGGCCAGGGTAATTTTACATTGGTTTTCAGGAGAACCAGACTCTTACGTGACAACCCAAACAATACTGCTCAATCGCGTTTAACAGGAGAACCAGACACCGTATAGGCTTTAACGCTACTGTGTGAATAGTACAGCTCAATCCTGTGGCGCAACCACACAGGTGCCAAGCACCCTGGTGAACCGTTCGCACCATTCATATACACATTCACTTCACATGCATAATAATTATTCCGATTAATAATCGCGTGAATCAATTATGCACAACACGAACAGGCCAAAGTTGACCTATTCTGCTAACACGACAGTCAAACTCATTAGTGTTAGCAATGACGACACGCCTTACAATGTCCCAATGACAATGACTCTTGAGAACACTGAAAAGCAACTACCAGTATAAATGAAATTAGATAACCAGCAAATCAATTTTGTACATGAACAGTCAGCGAAACTTGCCAAAGTAATGCCGAACCATCCACAATATCAATGACTAATCTCTAGTCTCATATGAGACTTTGAGCTCTATATAACCACATCCCTATTTTTCACTTCCATGTTCATGTATATGTATCTTTATTTACAACAACTATAGTAATTTTATTCTCTGGTGTTGTTTGTTATTTTAAGTCTACTGTATAACAAAAGCATCTTATTATATGTTGATAATTTGTAAGTTTTGTGTTGTTTAGCTCTCTTTTCTTTGAATCTCATTAAGTTTACTCTGTCAATGCTCTCTCATTATGGCTTCATTTAATAGTCCAATTATATATAGGGGGCTATTATCGCTCTGTGATATTTATATTTTGATGATTAACTCCAAATCCATTGGGAATTTTCGCTATTCTAATTTAAACATTGATTTGTTTCAACTGAACTGACTGTTTCATAAATCTTCATTTAGAACGAATATTGGAGAAGGTGAAACTTTCAGAGCTATTTTTGGATTATTATTATTATTTATGTTTTTATTTTATAATCAGTAGATAAATTGATTGTTACGTTTCTATGTTCCCCTTATTATAAGCTTTCAGTAGACTTATTGATTGTTGTGATGTGCTGATGCGGTATGGCGACCTGGACCGATGCACGTATGTGCCTGGTCCTACGTTGTAGCTGACTGACTGACTGATTGTTGTGATGTTTTATTATTCCCTAAGTATTCCTGGTTAATTATTTACTGCTTGATCCACTGTCTACTACTTATGTTATGATTGGGTTTGATATACGATTTCTTATTTGGTGTTCTATGTCGTCTGAGATTCCCACTATATTATTGTGTAAGTTTTGTGTTATAATTGACTTGGGTACATTAAAGAACTAATCTGTCTCCCTTATCATCAGTTTTATTGGTTTCTGAGTTAGAAAAGGCTCAAGTACCAATAAGCGTTAAGATCTTTATTTTTGTTCGTTGGTTACTGTGCGAATTAGTGAATTATCAGTCCTACTGGCTATATAGTACGTGTGATGAATTAGAAATTTTTAGCATTAGCCAAATCAATGAGTTTCTTAAAATACAACATGTTTGATTTTTCTTTATGGCTAAAATATTGTTCTTTCTATCGTGGTCGGTTTATGGACTAAAGATCGTACACTGACTGACAAGTTTCGGTTTCTTTGAAGCTCATGGATTTGAACAATTAAAAAGTCCCATTTTAAGACGAAAGACTCTGGAGCTAGGTTTCGTGCTATTTGGCACTCGTCACCAAGGTATACCTGTAATATTCAAGGAACTGATGCTCTCTGACGGATTCGATCCCATTCCACCCAGCTTCACAGTCAGAAACGTTACCACTTGGCGGATCGAATCCTCCAGGGAGCAGCAGTTCTTTCAAGATTACAGGTACACTTTGCTGACGGGTGCCAAGTAGCACAAAAACGAGGTCCAATATTTCTTGTTGATTACCTCCAACCACTCATCAAAATTATTAGAATTGTTACATGAATGAGTCAATATGCTAACTGGTTAAACGCTATCCTTGGAATTTTGATAGTGTTTTGTTCTCTGAGCTCAGAGAATCATATGTAGCAATAGATAATCTGTTACAGAACTGATATAAGAAAATATCATGAAAACCTAATATTCAATTTCGTGAAAATTTCTTTTAAATCTATTCATTTATCAATACATAACAAACTTCTACCTGAAGTTTTTGCTGATGATGTCGTTCAGAAAAGCAATGAAAGCTCCACGATCAAAACATCCAGCTCAGAAAACAAAACTACCAAAAACAGTTTAACTTGTCGATTGTGTTATGTTTCAGTTTTGTTTAGAACTTACCTATCTTTATTTATTTATTTGAACACATAAATATTGGTACAAGAGAGCGCCAATATATATGCACCACACAAAACAATGAGAATTCAAAGAGAAAAGAAAAAAAGGTAAGGAGCGTAAAAAAGACAACAATAACGAAGAGATTAGTGTAAGGTAGTGTGGTAGTAATGAGGGAACGGAAAGGTACAATCGGAAGAAATCTTTCAGGTAAGGGAGACACAACCACTTTTTATGAAGAAAGTAAAAGAAGGTTACAGCATGATCGCCATTGGCTTCTATTCTGAGCCATATCTCATAACGTCTCTAGCCACTGTGTAGCACCATCTCTCAGACCCCAGTCAGTCCTTTGCAGCTTTCTCTCATGCCACGACACCATGTCATGCACTGACCACCTCTCCGTTTCTTCCAACCAGTCCCAGAGTCGGCAAATTATGCACGACGTGGAATTCTCTGAGACGACATTCGTTGAACATGTCCAAGTCACCGAAGTCGGTGTTTCAAGATGGTGTCACCAATTGAATTATCATCTCTGTGCCTGAACACACGATGCCGAACCTCTGCATTACTAACATGGTATTGCCACTGGATGTCAGCAATCGTTCGGAGACAGCGTTGATCGAACACAGAGAGTCTTCTATCGTCCTCAACTCGGAGAGACCAGGTTTCACAAGCATAGAGCAGAACTGCTCTCACCGACGCGTTGTAGATCCGACCTTTTACAGCCAGACTAACATCACCAAGGAGCAAAAGATGGCCCAGATTGGCATAAGCCACTCTGGCTTTCACTATACGTGCATTGATCTCATCACTCACACCCCCACCAGGACTTATGCAGCTACCCAGATACACGAACTTCTCGACTACTTCTATCTGCTCACCATCCAGGGTGAGTACAGGATTAGAATCCTGTCAGTATTGTAGAAGTACTTTGCAATTCGAAGGTCCGAAGCACATACCATACCTACGGACACTGATTGCCAACTGAATAAGTGTATATTGCATGCCTTGGGCATTATCTCTTATATATATATATATATATATATATATATATATATATATACTTTTTTTTATCACAATTCGTTGCTAGGCGATGTTCCAAAAGGAATGGTATTTATCACTTTACAATGTCAGTAAAGATATTTTGAAATAGCATCTAGTGATGATCCCGTTATAGCTTGGTATTGTATTGATCATATAATAATAAGATATATTTCGTAAATAATGGCAATACTTATTATCATTATTATTATTATTATTACTACTCAAGGTGTATCCCTATATGTATAATTGATTGTTAGATTTTTTGCTATCATTTGTTTTTTCACTTTGTTGTTATTTGACTTATTACGTTTTACTTTTCAATGTTTGAATGACAAATTCCTTATTGTTGTCATGTCGTTTATGTATAACAGAACATTTAATTTAGTTATACACTGAAATGGATATATATGTATAAATATGGTGTGTGTGGGGGGGGGGAGAGAGAAGAGTTAACTGTGATACATATTGTTATCTCCCCCCTGAATTTGCACATTTTCTTGAATTCATTTCACAAGTATGCCTATCATTGATATTTTTTGTATTACAGTTAAACTGGAATTTTCCTCCTCCTCCTCCTCCTTTTTTCTCTATTACATAACATACTAACTTGACTTATTACCAGTATTTTAGCTTGCATTCTCATTATTCACGCTCTTTATTATTATTATTATTATTATTATTATTATTATTATTATTATTATTATTATTATTATTATTATTATTATCTAGTTGATTCATTATAACATTATCATTAGCATGCTATCTTTGTTTGTTTGTTTTTGGCGGGAAAAAAATCTAAACTTTTTATCAACAATTGTGGATCTGATTGTGTCTAAACTGAAATTTGTCGACTGTTCTTTTCTCCTCTTTTTTTCTTTTTTCTAAATCTATTTTTCTTCAAAATATTGATTTTTATAGGTACCTCAAATATCATCAACTGATAATCAATCATCATCGGATATAAAACGTCCTATTACTTCAACATCATCAAATCGTCCAGAACCATTAATAAAAATGCATACACCATGGCAATCGCAACAAATGAAATCTGATCAATTATCACCAATTAATTTATTAAAACCAACTACAACTATCGCTGAAGTAATTGTACAAAAATCATCTATTATTTCTCCTATGGAACGTATACAATCAGCTAGACCACAACAATTTCTAATTGAACATTCAATAATCAATGATGGTAATGCTTTGAATAATAAACTTAATATTGATAAATTGAATTCAAATCATCATCCATGTACATCAAAATCAATTTTAGAAGAGATACGTATTATGGATGAATTGCCTACACCATTTCCTGCTTATGTTGCATCAGCACCAACTGCTACACCAGCTGTTAAACCGCCTGGATTAAGTTATCAATTAAATAATTCTACATCAAAACATATTGAAAATATTATACAGAAAACGCCTACATCATCATATTCGTCTGGTATCAGTCAACCATTGCATATTCAAACAACCACTTATGATTTATCGTCGACTACCGTGGTTGATTCACATAAAAATCATCATCATTTACAACACCAACAACATTGTCGATCTTCATCGAATAATTCGTCTAGCATTTCTTCTGCTTCTACATCACCACGTAGTTCATGTTCATCAAGTCAACTAGATTTATTAGATCCAGTATCTACTGATTTAACTTCAGGAAGTCATCAAACTACAATTCTGTCAAATTCCAATTCGTCGTCTCCTACATCTCCAGGTTCTAGAACATCATCATCATCACCATCGACTTCTTCATCAGTTAGTGCAGAAGCAGCAGTTGTTGATGATGATGATTTGAATGGGGGCGATGAAGCTAATATTTTAATATCAGCTGTTAGTGTAGAACACAAATCTGATTTTGTCGGTGTTGATGATGATGTTGAAGAAGTGTTTCTAAATGAAGATAAAGATTTGAAAAGTGTAGATAAGCAACAAGATGAAAAAGAAGAAGCTGAAAACTATAATCATCAAGAGTATTTGGCAATTACTGAACATACCATCATACAAGATTCATTGGAAGCACGATTTTTACCTATTGATTCTGAAGTAAGTTGCTTAGTAATACTATTTTAGTAATGCATTAATGTTTTCTTATTTCCAGAAATACTGAAGTATATTTGGGTTTTTTTTACAATGACATATCAATATTTAACTACTATACATACCCGAACCAAGTAAATTCCACAGTGAAATCCTGACCTAGATATTCGATTCCCACTTCTATTATTTATTTGAACACATAAATATTGGTAAAAAGGGGCACCGAATACATATGTGCCTCACAAGTCATTTGATTCGTGTGTTGGTTGGGATACTGCTCAGGTATCCAAACTGAAACAGGTGGTTTTCTTAATTGATCACACCCGGAGCCTTCTATCTGAAGGTCTAATCCATAAGGAAGTGGAGCAACATAAGTAGATACAGTCCCATAGTAGCCGGTGCCCACAAAAGGTTCATACGCCATTTGTTTCCGTCGGATGTTAGAGCTCATGTATACCATTGGTTTTGAATGAGGGTTTTCTAAATCCCCTAAGTGGACTCTCCGTTTCTACCAACCTGGTTAAAGTGCAGGACATTCGCTTTTTCGTCCTCTCAATTTCGTAAACAACAGTAATGCCGCGAGAAGGAAGTGGATGAGAGTCCCGTGGTACTGGCCCTATGCGCGTGGCGATGTTTGAACTGACTCTCCCCAACCTCGACCGTTGCAGGGCATGTGAGGGCATAAATAAACTATATTTGTTATTAGTGTTGGGGATGTTAGGTCCCCAGAACTCACTTGGTAAATACCTTAATTTTGTATTTTTATTTTGAAAATTTGAATTTCTTTGTTTTCGTGCTAAAAGCGCTCTTTTCAACTTCATGTCATATTTCCCATTCGGGAGAATCTTTAACGTTATTGGTCCGTTGTATATTTTAGCATACTATTTTGTAACTCTTCCCAAGGACAGTTTTATGCTGTATATATACGTTTGATGTGTCTGTTGTTGTCGCTTGTGCTTCTGGATACTTGCGGAATATAATTCCCCGTTCCAAACTTCGACTTCCCTCTCTAGTTAGTGGGGCCGGGACGCATCAGAATATCTAACTTATTGGTTATTGGTCACTGAGTCTTTGTTCTGTTCGCGGATCATATGAACTCGTAATCACTTCAAACCTAGCAAATTTGGCGACGGGGTTGTCGCAAACATTAATCCTTCAGAAGTGTAATTATTTGTCGAGCAACAGCTGAAACCTGTGTAGATGTTAGCAGATGCAAAACATACGCCCAACACTCAACTAAGCACTTCTAATCCTACTACTACATAGTCAGTTGATGGTATCGCGAGCAGTATCTCTGAGTTTCGTTATGATCCTGAATCCAATGTCATATTTGATATGTGGTTTCGACGTTATGAGGACTTATTCAAATTTGATTTTGCTAATCAGGATGACGCTTGGAAAGTCCGCTTTCTACTTCGAAATCTGGGTCCTAGTGAATAAGATAGATATTGTAACTTAATTCTGCTTCTAAATCCACGTGATCGCTCATTCTCGGACACCTTTCAGTCATTAAGTCAACAGTTTGGAGATAACTTTTCACTGTTCAACGCACGTTATCGATGTTTGAAGCTGACTATGAACGAAGACGCTGTTTTTCTCACACATGTGGATATCTTCAACTGTGAATACGAACGCTTCCGATTGAAGTAGCTGACTGAAAATCATTTCAAAGCCCTTTTTCTAATCTGCAGTCTCCAATCGCAAATGTTTAGTGACATCAGAACACAGCTGCTTAGTCGATTAGACGGGTCCGGAACCTATCAGAATATCTAGCTTATTGGCCATTGGTTACAGAGTCTTTGTTCCGTTCTCAGAGTAGATGAACTCATAATCGTTTGAATTAGTTTATATATCTGTGGTGTAATTAGTTTAATTACTCCATTTTTAATTCACCATTAAATGATAAATTATTTATGATTAAATTTGAAATCTCTTGTTGTTAACTATCTAAAATATAGACATTCTCATCTTGTTATATATCTATTTACATTATATGAAGTTCATTTCATTGTTTCAAATTTCATTTTGTTAATTTCTAAGAAATTTGTTCCAAATAGGGGAATATTAATTGATCATTTTTGACAGATCAATTCACTCGATTATATATTGATCAAATAGTTCAGTCTCTCCTTTTCTCTCTCTCTCTCTTTTTTTTCTTTTCTTTCTTTCTCTTTCTCTTTCTCTTTTTCTCTCTCTGATGAATGGAATTCGAAAGATAGTTGAGTTATTATCAAGAGATTTAAGATTGAATAGTTCAAAGGTTAGATTCTGCTAGTTTCACTTTAGTAATTCAGTTAGTCAAGAGATGTACAGTCTGAAGTGTATATATTTATATTTATTAGTTCATGTTGTTACGTCACAACTCAATGCGATGAAATGATTAAGATAGTAGTGTCATCAGTGATATTGAACAAGGTCAGATATAGATGATATGATTCTAACATAATGAAATAGTTCGTGAAGTTAAATTTACAATTCAGAATCTAATAAAAGAAGATTGAATGGATTTGCTTTATTACATTTTGTTTTAATGTATACTACATAATGTGTTGAATGATTAGTTAAGATGATCATTTTATGTGCCAACCTACAAGTCTCAGTCCTACAATTGATGTATCCATGATCCTATAACATGTTTTGGTTTGATTGTTTCTTACTTTATTTTCAACTGGCTACTCTATCGAAGTAGGAGATTGTTGGGGATATGTAGCACATCTTCCAACTACCTTAGTTGATGAAGACTCACTACCAGTTCATTAACTTACTTAAAGTCCTTGTTTTGTACTCTTCGTCTTATTTGAACAATGCTAACTCAGATATAAATTCATTATACCTTATTATTCTTCCAAGATAAGTGAAGTAATGGGCAAGTTTAACTAATTGACTTTTCACTTCTCACGGGACTATCGCGAAACAACATTACTCAGTCCAACACATTCTGGGATTGCTATGCAAGGAAGTCAAGGGACTTTTCAGTTTCTTAAGGTTTATACGAAACAGAGCTAAATCATATGACATAGCCCTCGAATCTCCTTGTACGGCAGAGAGTGGAGAGAATCAGCTCTCCCTCTCAAAACCCTCTCATATAGCCACACGTATACAGTCACTACCAGGGAATTGGATTAGAGATGGTGTTAGTGACCTGAAAGCGTGACCGCAGTGCCAAAGGGACTACTGCTTGAGGTCAGTCGCACACGACTATTTTGTCAGTGATTTTCGTAATTGTTGAGACCTTACCGTCGGAGACGGACATATGTGGGATAAGGTGAGGTGTGCATTTTTAGGGTCGACCTTTTCTAACCCCACCCCTCCTTGTGTGAAGGCATCATCGCTGTTATTCTGACTGTCCAAAAGAAACACCTTACTACTGTCACATCTCTGTACTGTCAGCAGTACGACTTCACCTTCGGACCTTGGGTTTACTGCTTTTAGTCTTAACGTTCTTCAACTGACGTGTCTGGCATGGTAGGACCTTGAGGAACAATTGATTCATCACGCTATGCAAGCCTGACCATCACGTCAAGGTAGCAACAACGGTCGGGAGTTAGCTGATATGTGTGATTTGGAGTTCAGCTAACCTACATGTTTCACCGTATTTAAATAATAATTTGATAATTTAAGTTGGTAATATTCTGTATTAAAACTGTAATTTATGTGTAATGATAAATCCAACACAGTAGGTTATACATATATATTGTTCGATTTCTGAACTATTTGCATTAGTAAAATGTAAATAAAACCATGTTTATTTAGTTAAGTTTTAATCTGACCCACTCTATAATTCATACATAATAAATTATGTCTATAATCAGTGTTATTGTTTAAACAAAGAATTTTGTTCTGTAGTTCATATCTATGCATATTATTCAGTTCGATTAATTTGACTATTTGCCAACTTTGTTAGTCGTCAAGATTGTCGAGGCGATGTCGGAACCATGATATATGATATTGTTACCATAAGAGACTTATATATCCACTGAACTGTATAGTTAATATCAGAAAACCAATTTATTCTTGAAAACATTGTAAAGCAGGTTCGAACTAGTATCAGACTCTAACAGTATTCATTCATGACCCCAAAAAAGGTTGAAGCTAGGCTCTTCAAGTTTTACTCTTGTCGCTTAATCTTCAGATCATTTACGCGGCATTCAATAGTTTGGATCTCTGGATTTTTGATTTGTAATGTTGTGCTGCCATCTAGTTTACAGGATGTGCATCACTGAAGCGCCTTATGCTAGAACCAAATAACTATCCAGTGATTCTAGGTTTTCAATAGTTGACTAAGGTCAGGCCTTTATGTAGAGTATATTGAATTCATTATTATCTTGATTTATTTTTATAAAAATGTTGTTCAATTATTAAATTCCCTAATTGATATTAAAAAGCATAGCTATTTTGTGGAATTCGATTGGCTAACAACGCTACTGGATTTGTATCTCTGTAATTATAAATTAATTCCGACTTTCATTAACACTTGTTTAATCCCATTATTTATATATTTATTTAAAAAAAAAACATAAACATTAGTAGAAGGGGGTACTAAATGTATATGCGCTGCACTTCATCATTCGACTCTTGTGAGGATTATGATACTTTCCGGGTGCCCAAACCGAAGCAGGTGATTTTCCTAGGGTTCTACCCCTGGAACCATTGACCTAAAGGTCTAATTCACAAGGCGGTGGAGCAGTGTTAGGATATACAATCTCATGGTAGCCGGTGGTCAACAATAGTTTCATACGTCTTTTTTTCCCTCAAGATCCTGGAGCCCATGTGCACCATTGGTTTGGAATGAAGGTTTTTGAACTCCTCTAGGTGGATCCTCTATATCCATCAACCCGCTTAAATCGCTGGACATTCACTTCCCATGACAGTCGCTGTATACCCCCACCCCTGATCCTGAAATGGTGGAAGAAACTATGACTTTCAGATTTCATGGGAAGTGCTTAACTAGTATAACCTTTGGGTTGGTGTACATTAGTTTCAACTCCGATTATTTCGAGAGTAAC